CTCTGGGGTACCCCTGAATACCTTATCCCTGGGGTACCACACTCCTGTGTTCCTCATCCCTGGGATAACTCATTCCTGGGGTACTTCATCCTTGGGGTACCTCATTCCTGGGGTATCACACCCCTGGGCTACCACACTCCTGGATTCCTCATTCATCCCTGGGGTACCTCATTTCTGGGGGTACCACACCCCTGGATACCTCATCCTTGGGGTACCCCATCCTTAGGGCACCTCATTCTTGGGATTTCACACCCTTCTGGATTCCTCATCCTTGGGGTACCCCATCCTTAGGGCACCTCATTCTTGGGGTACCACACCCCTGGATTCCTCATCCCTGGAGTTCCTAATTTTTGGGGGTACCACACCTCTGGATACCTCATCCCTGGGATACCCCATCCTTAGGGCACCTCATTCTTGGGATTTCACACCCTTCTGGATTCCTCATCCTTGGGGTACCCATCACTGGGGTACCTCATTCCTGGGGTACCTCATTCCTGGGGTACCACACCCCTGGGTACCCTTGGGTGCTGCAGCCCTGGGTGTCACATCCCTGGGGTTTCACATCCCTGGGGTACCTCCTCCCTGGGGTACCTCCTGCCTGGGGTACCTCATTCCTGGGGTACCTCATTTCTGGAGTATCACACCCCTGGGGTACCACATCCCTGGACACCTCATCCCTGGGATACCCCATCCTTAGGGCACCTCATTTTTGGGGTACCACACCCCTGGATTCCTCATCCCTGGGGTACCTCATTTTTGGGGGTACCACCCCCCACCCCTCCACCTCACCCAGGTCGGCGATGCAGCACTGCCGGTTGCTCTTCACCAGGATGTTCCTGCTCTTCAGGTCCCGGTGGGCGATGGCAGGCTTGCCCTGAGTGCCGAAAATCTCCACGTGGAGGTGGACGAGGCCGCAGATGATGGAGGAGGCCAGGCCCAGGCAGGTGTCCACGTCCAGGGCTGTCCTCTGCAGGAAGTCGTAGAGGGAGCCGTTCTCGTGGTAGTGCGTGATGAGCCAGAGCTGTGTGCTGGAGTTCCTGGAGGTCATGTCAGAGGCGATGAAACCTGGCCAGGGACAAACAGCTGGGGTCAGGGAACAGCTGGGAAACAGCTGGGGA